CTCCGACCTCAACTCCAACTCTATATATTTGGTTTCGGGGAGAAAAAAAATCAGAGAGAAGGAATCATCACGTTTTACGATACGGAGCCGCCGCCAAGCCCTAAAACCTCTTGGGAGGCCTGATCTGGAGTCCGTTCGGGGCTCCGGAGAGGGGAATCCGTCGCCATCATCATCATCAACCATCCTCCATCACCAATTTCATGATGCTCACCGCCGTGCATGAGTAATTCCATCGTAGGCTTGCTTGACGGTGATGGGTTGGATTGGATCTATCATGTAATCGAGTTAGTTTTGTTAGGGTTTGATCCCTAGTATCCACTATGTTCTGAGATTGATGTTGCTATGACTTTGCTATGCTTAATGCTTGTCATTAGGGCCCGAGTGCCATGATTTCAGATCTGAACCTATTATGTTTCCATCAATATATGAGAGTTCTTGATCCTATCTTGCAAGTCTATAGTCACCTATTATTTGTTATGATTCGTTAACGCCGAAGTGACAATAATCGGGATACTTACCGGTGATGACCGTAGTTTGAGGAGTTCATGTATTCACTATGTGTTAATGCTTTATTCCGGTACTCTATTAAAAGGAGGCCTTAATATCTCTTAGTTTCCATAAGGACCCCACTGCTACGGGAGGGTAGGACAAAAGATGTCATGCAAGTTCTTTTCCATAAGCACGTATGACTATATTTGGAATACGTGCCTGCATTATATTGATGAACTGGAGCTAGTTCTGTGTCACCCTAGGTTATGATTGTTACATGATGAACCGCATCCGGCATAATTCTCCATCACCAATCCATTGCCTACGAGCTTTCCATATATTGTTCTTTGCTTACTTACTTTTCCGTTGCTATTGCTATCATCACTACAAAATACCAAAAACATTACTTTTGCTATCATTACCTTTTGCTACCGTTACCACTACTATCATATTACTTTGCTACTAAACACTTTGCTGCAGATACTAAGTTTTCCAGGTGTGGTTGAATTGACAACTCAGCTGCTAATACTTGAGAATATTCTTTGGCTCCCCTTGTGTTGAATCAATAAATTTGGGTTGAACACTCTACCCTCGAAAAATGTTGTGATCCCCTATACTTGTGGGTTATCAGTCATGTCATGCATCGCTATGCATCTGTTTGCATTATATTCATTGTTTCTTCCCCCTCTTCTCTCCGATAGACTACGAGACTGACGCCGCTGCTAGTGCCCCGATCAACTACGCTGTTGACGACCCCTTTTTCTTGCCAGAGCAACCAGGCAAGCACCCCCCTTGATCACCAGATATAGCCTATTCTCTCTCTACTGCTTGCATTAGACTAGTGTAGCATGTTACTGCTTTCCGTTAATCCTATTCTGATGCATAGCCTGTCATTGTTGTTACATCTGTTGATACCTTACCTGCAATCCTAAATGCTTAGTATAGGATACTAGTTTATAATCAGTGGCCCTACATTCTTGTCTGTCTGCCATGCTATCCTATCGGGTCGTGATCACTCGGGAGGTGATCACGGGTATATATTATATACTTTATACATATTACATGTTGTGACTAAAGTCGGGTCGACTCATTGAGTACCCGCAAGTGATTCCGATGTTGGGGGTTGAAGGGGCAGGTGGTTCCACCCAGGTAGTGGTGGGCCTGGGTTCCCGACGGCCCCCGACCGTTACTTTGAGGCGGAGCGACAGGGCAGATTGAGACCACCTAGGAGAGAGGTGGGCCTGGCCCTGGTCGGCGTCCGCAGTTATGTCAAAATAACACGCTTAATGACATCTTGGTATTTGATCTGAGTCTGGCCACTGGCCTATACACACTAACCAACTACGCGGGACAGTTATGGGCACTCGACGTCGTGGTATCAGCTGAAGCCTTCGTGATGTCAGCGACTGAGCGGTGCGCGCCGGGTTGGACTACGTAACACAACTTCCTTTGTACTCGAGGTTGCTAGGTCTGCTCTCCGGCTGCCCATGCAACGTGCAGGTGTGCAATGGGCGATGGGCCCAGACCCCTGCGCCATAGGATTTAGACCAGCGTGCTGACCTCTCTGTTGTGCCTAGGTAGGGCTGCGGTGTGTTGATCTTTCGAGGCCGGGCATGACCCAGAAAAGTGTGTCCGGACAAAGGGGATCGAGCGTGTTGGGAAATGTGGTGCACCCCTGCAGTGAAGTTAATCTATTCAAATAGCCGTGATCTTTGGTAACATGACGACTTGGAGTTGTACCTTGACCTTATGACAACTAGAACCGGATGCTAAATAAAACACACCCTTCCAAGTGCCAGATACAACCTGTGATCGCTCTCTCTTAGGGCGACGAGGAGAGGATCGCCGGGTAGGATTATGCTACACGATGCTACTTGGTGAACTTACCATCTACTCTCTTCTACATGCTGCAAGATGGAGGGGCCAGAAACGTAGTCTTCGACAGGACTAGCTATCCCCCTCTTATTCTGGCATTCTGCAGTTCAGTCCACATATGTTATCCCTTTTCCATTTAATACCAGTGCATGCATATGTAGTGTAGCTCCTTGCTTGCGAGTACTTTGGATGAGTACTCACGGTTGCTTTGCTCCCCCTTTTCCCCCTTTCTATACCCGATTACTGCGACTAGACGATGGAGTCCAGGAGCCAGACGCCACTGTCGATGACGACTGCTACTACTCGGGAGGTGCCTACTACTACGTGTAGGCCGCTGACGATGACCAGGAGTAGTTTAGGAGGATCCCAGGAAGGAGGCATGGACCTCTTTCGATATGTATCCCATTTTGTGCTAGCCTTCTTAAGGCAAACTTGTTTAACTTATGTCTGTACTCAGATTTGTTGCTTTCGCTGACTCTTCTATGATCGAGCTCTTGTATTCGAGCCCTCGAGGCCCCTGGCTTGTAATATAATGCTTGTATGACTTATTTTATTTGTAGAGTTGTGTTGTGATATCTTCCCGTGAGTCCCTGATCTTGATCGTACATGTTTGTGTGTATGATTAGTGTACGATTGAATCAGGGGCGTCATAGTCAGGATACCACTAAAGAAGAGCTCAAGTCGGTGTTGGGTGTGTCCTCGGAAGCACTAAGTGAACAGTACATCGGTCTCCCAACACTGGTTGGATGATCGAAAGAAGGTACATTTCAGTATGTCACAGTGAGCTCGAAAGTAAAATGTAGCGGATGGAAGGGTTTGGGTCTGTCTAAGAAAGCAAGGGAGGTTCTCATCAAGTCTGGACTCCAATCAGTACCAACTTTCACCATGAGTTGTTTCTACCTCACAAAGAAAACGTGCCGGAATCTGAATTCTATCTCTTCGAAATTCTGGTGGGGGCAAAGGACGGTGAGCGAAAGGTACATTGGATCTCCTAGCAGAAAATGTGCACTTCCAAGCAGGATGGATGTATCGGGTTCCGTGATCCGGTGGCATTCAACCAGGCCCTACTGGCAAAACAAGCCTGGCGAGTGCTGCAATGCCCGGAGGCTTTGGTGGCGAGAGTGCTCAAGGTGCGTTACTTCAAAGACGATTCCATCCTGAGTGCGACGTGCCCTTTGACATCCTCATACACTTACATGAGTATTCTGCACGGGAGAGACCTCCTTAGAGAAGGGCTAGTTTGGCGAATTGGGGACGGCTCCAATGTTAATATACATCACAGTAACTGGATTCCGAGGAACGGTTCCATGAAGCCACTTGGTCAGATCTATATGCCAGGGGTGACAAGGGTGGCTGACCTCCTTAAGGCGGATGGTAAAACATGGAACCGAGACCGGGTCTTCAAAATGTTCTCCCCGGATGATGCAAACGACATCCTACATATTGTGGTGGGTGGTGTGGGCATTGAGGACTATCAAGCGTGGAACCACACGAAAAATGGAGTTTTTTCGATACGTTCTACATATCATTTGAGAATGGCCATGTTGAGAGTGAGCTCTGGACGGCCGGAGTCTTCTAGCTCAGTGAACAAACATAAGGGGTATATGGCACTATGGGACACGAACGCACCGGGGAAGGCCAAAATTCATCTATGGAGACTGGTTTCAAATGGATTGGCAGCTGGGTCGGAGCTACACAGGAGAAGGACTAAGCCTGGAGTCTTTTGCGCCGTATGTGGTCATGAGGAAACCATTATTCCTCGGTTTTTGTCGTGTCAACAGTCTGTACAGTTTTGGCAGCTATTTCGCTCGGAGATGGGAGATATGGTGGCGATCCCACCATGCTAGTTTGACTCCCAGGGAGAAGTAGCGCGCTGGCTACTGCAGTGTCTAGTGGGAGCATCTGACAACGCGAGACATGCGATGGTGCAAGCGCTATACGGCCTTTGGCTTGCCAGGAACGAGGCACAAGATGGAAAGAGGATCAAGGCACCACATGAAATATTGGCCACTGTGTTGATGCACATGGAGGAATGGAGGCTGGCACATCCCACTTCAAACAACATTCAGACCCGTCAGCCACCACAGCCATGGGAACCGCTAGCCGAGGGGTGGACCAAGGTTAACTCAGACGGTGCAACGTCAAAATTGGGAAGCAAGGCAGGCGAAGGTGCTGTGCTTAGGGACCATATGGGGGCGTTCAGAGCGGGGGTGTGTCATCTTTTTTCCGGCGTCACTGATCCCGAGGTAGCAGAACTTCTGGCCTGCAGGCGAGCTCTCGAGGTGGCGAGTGATATAAATGTGCAAAGAGTCCATGTGGAGTTAGACTCCAATGGGGTGGTGCGTACGCTGCAGAATGAAGCAAAGGAGCTATCAAGTGACAGGACCATTAGTGGAGGAGATCAAAACGATGCTGAGATCTTTTGATGAGTTTAAGATTTTGTGGGTTCGACGTTCAGCAAATGTTGCCGCGCATAAGTTAGCTAGAGTAGGTGTGGGTGATGAACTTTGTAAGGTTTGGTTGGGGGCTCCCCCAGACTTCGTTCTTTCTGTTTTGTTGGATGAGATTCCGAACTTCGTAAGTTAAATAAAGTGGCAACTTTTGACCCTCAAGAAAAAGTAGTCGCATGCAGGTACCTCATTCCGGCGCCCAGCCAACCGCCATACCGGGTCTCCAGCTCGTGCGGCAGATCGAAGTGATGCAGCGTCACGAACGGCTCTATCCCTGCTTGACATTTTTGGCAATTATTAGTACAACGTGCATTTTAGGATTCCTCTTGGTTGAAGATTACCACTAGCATGAGTTGAATTTGCTGTAGATTAAACTCTATGCTTAATTAAAGAGAAGGCCAAACTTTGGGTCAAAGCGGGTGTGAAGAAGTTAAGGAATTTAAATTTGGGAGAGTAACAACATTGGTTGTAATGGCGTCGCTGTAACACAAACTCATTCTTCTCCTTAATTAATAGATGAGGCAAAGCTTATGCCTCCGTTTCGAAAAATATCGGCTGCAGATGTGTGGCGTGTGGGACTACCTTTCTCAAGGAGCGCAGCGATCAGGCGGTCGTAGAAAGCGATGGCAGCTGAATTAACTCCTCCAAGCCGGCCTCCTACGAGGATGATGTTAACGCCCCATATGTAACCTGCCATATTTGTATTCCAACTCTTGCCATTTTCGGCACTAAGTTATGATATTTCCTCGTTGTCGGGTTTTTGTCTCCGTGTTGCTTTTGTCTTTGTCATGCATCTCATATCATGTCATCATGTGCATCGCATTTGCATACGTGTTTGTCTCATGCATCCGAGCTTTTTCCCCGTTGTCCGTTTTGCATTCCGGCGCTCCTATGTCCTCCGGTGTTCCCTTTTACCTCTTTTCGTGTGCGGGTGTTCAACATTCTCGGATTGGACCAAGACTTGTCAAATGGCCTTGGTTTACTACCGGTAGACCGCCTGTCAAGTTTCGTGCCATTTGGACTTCGTTTGATACTCCAACGGTTAACCGATGAACCGAGAAGGCCTCGTGTGTGTTGCAGCCCAACACCTCTCCAAATTGGCCCCAAACCCAGCTAAACCCCCTCCATCATCTCGTTCGTTCGATCACGATCGCGTGGCCGCAAACCGTGCTCAATTTGGAGCCTCCTAGCCCCCTCTACCTATAAATATATACTCTCCCCCTAAATTTCGGATCAAAACCTAGATCCCTCTCCCCTCCGCGCGGCCGGACGTGTCCGCCCGCCGCCGCCACGTGGCACGCCGCCATTCGCCCGGCCGCATCCCTCCACCGCCAGCCCGCCGAGCCCAGAGCGGGCTCCCGAGGCCCACGCCGCCCCCGCGCCG